TCCTCACTTTAAATAACGTGGCAGGGCCTCGCGGCCCCCCACACAATGAACTCAACCAGTGGCTATTCCCTTCCATTATCGGTGAACTAGTCTCTTCACGCCGTCTTAGAAGAATGAGAACGGCTGTTGACGAAACCAACGCCGCGCTGGAGGAGCTGCAGTTCCAAGATTAAATCAAATCAAATCAAAGTTTATATAACATCACCAAGTACAAAGTACTAAAAAAATGATGCATGAGCTCAGACAAAAAGCCGCAAGGGTGCGGCTTTTTGTTTGTTTCGCATCACCAACTTTACAGCCAGGACCTAGCGCCATCAGACTTCTGACTTCTTTAAGATGAAAAAACATCTGAAGGGAACACGATTTTCGTCCGACGACGAGGTTACCGATGTAGTGCGCCATTGGTGTCAACGGCCGCTCCAGTTTTGGAGTTCTTGTTTACATGGCCTTGCTTGTTGGCTTACTACGATATAGCCTTCCTATTCTACATGGCACATGCCAAAGAAAAAATAGTACACGAGTACACTTAAGACTGCTTAAGTGTAGGAAGACGAAAGCATTATAGTCCTGCGGCAGAAATGTTTTCGAGTAATGTTTCTTCATGGTATTAAAGTTTAGGACGACCTCTAGGACAACATCGAGGACGAACTCACGGACGAACTCAAGGACGACGACTAGGACGACGTATAGGGTGACGTCAAGGAAGACGTCTAGGACGATTTCTAAGACGACCTTAAGGACAATGTCTAGTGCGACGTCAAGAGTGATACCTAAAGGACGACGTCGAGAACGACGCCTGGAGGAGGATACTTAAGGAGGCTGTGGCTTATTTCCGTGGCCGGCCACGTTTGCCTGCGGAAGCCGCCGTAGATGTAGAGGCTGCTGCCGATGTCTAAACCGTAGATGTAGACTCAGTCGCCTTACAGTCCATCGCACGAAGCACACAACGACCACGGACCTTTTGCGCGTGGCACTCCGCCCGTGACATCACGCTCCCGCACTTGAGCGTCAGCGTGAGCGTGAGCGGCATGTGATTGATGACGTTGTTTTATGGCCATCTCTCGGTCATAACGATGCCGCGTTTTAGCGTAATAGGACAATTAAGGTCGTCCTAGAGGTTTAGCACGACAGGAGGACATCAACGACGACGACAAGGACAGCATCGTCTTTGAGCATACAACTGAGCTGCACGTGCCGCTCAATCGTATTTTTATGGCTATATATACGTCGCTTTTTCGCTCAGTGGGTCAAGTAAGGCTTTGGCCTTAATATAGCCTCTACACTCAACAGCTTTTTTTGCAAAGTGTTAGGGTCGCTTAATAGTGCTTTGTACCACCGATCTATGCATATTTTGCGGCAAGTATCGTGCATGCGTTTACTTAATCTGACAAAAATGCTCACGTCATACGCCCTCACAGAAGCATTGCTAATAAATAAAAAAATACGTACCGCTGGAGAATGGATAAAACTAATCACGGCGCCGCGGCGTGCCGTGACGAAGAGGTTGAACACCGGGCGATAGTCAAGGAATATCATAGTTGGACTCGAATACTCGTATCTCTGGCCTTACTGCGCATGCGCAACCTTCCCTAGGCTGTGGCCAGGCTCAGAAGCATGTACAGAAAGCCATGCGCTCCGTTGTTCGTATTGCAATGTATCGCGATTGTACTCTTTCGTATACAGAAAGCGAAATTCTATAGAAACAACGTTTCAGTAGAGTACCCGCAACTGGGGGACTTTACTGAAAGGTTATGTGCTTCTGGAAAAAAAGATTTTGCAATGTTTAATTTAAATGTAACATATCAAATTTATCACTGATTAGAAAATGTTACAGCCTAGGATGCAAAACTTGTTGATCCCCCCTTGTATATCTTTCCGAGTATTTTAAGTAAAATAGCAATTATCACCAGAGTGCCGCTCGACTGACTCAAGCGCGCGTTCGAAAAAACGTTACTATGTTCTTATATCATTTGCCTCCACGTTAACTGTGATATATAAGACGGTATTTTGAAGGAAATGTCAACGTTCTTGTCAAGAATTCTTTGTAACACAAGTTAACATTCACTCTAGGGGATCAAAACAAACATTTTAAAGAGAAGATCTGCAAATTGGTACATCTGTATAAAATATCTGATGATGTCGATAAGTGTCATCGCTTCTTTGTGAAGTATCTGGGGAAAACTCGTGCATACTATTTTGACACTGGAGATAAGCTAAAGAAATATACAGTAAAAATGGCATACAGAAATTAGATTATTAGAGTTCTGCGTATAAGCTGATTACCCGCGAGTCATCCGCGGAATTCTGCAGTCAACTAACTGGTGGATGCGGATAACATTGAAAAAGATTTGGCGGATTACGAATCAGATACGGGTGCCAGAGGCTGCGGATGCTGATCGGATGCAAATATCCGCGGATCCGGATCAACATTTTGCCAAGGCAGCCCATAATTGTTGTGCGATCACAGAGTGTAGAGTGAATGAGTGAGTGATAGTATGAAGGACAAAGTGTTTTGCAGGAGCAAATTGCTGCATTAGAAAAAAAGGTACCAATTGCAGGGAAAATTGTTTTTGACGCCAAGACCTGGTCTCACCTAAGATGGCTTTAGAGCGTTGCATCTCGACAAAAGTGTTCTCCCTAAAAAAAATACGAATGCAGGGACATCAGTCGTCCCGGCAAAGCGTGTTCTTGTTTTGGCTAGGAATGAGCGAAAAATGTTCTGGAGGCAAAGAGAACCATTAACGTACAAGCCACAAGGAAGTAGAAGCAGCCTCCTTCCTTCTGGATTTCTTAATTTCATGATGTAAGATGAAAGTGCAAATTGCGGGTCAGATGTGGTTTCGAATTTTGTGGATGCGGTTCGGAAGCGGTTACGAAGTCTGCGGATGCAGATCGGATGCGGATGATCAAACTGGAATCCGTGCGAACACCTATAAAATATTAAAAACCCAAGCTTCTAAAGGCCCGTTCACACTCCTTGCGACCTCTTAAAACTAGATTCCTTAAAACCTCTTACAACGAGAGGACACACTGGCGCCATCTATTGGGTAGCAATGTAAACTTGGCCGGTCCGGCATATTTTATATTTCTCCCGCGCATTATCCTTTCTTTCTTGGCTCGAAAAACTTTTGTTAACGCTATAAACGAGCCTTTCTTAAGGCATTATGCACAGTTGACCTCCGAAATCCCACAAAACCTTCGCTCTTGTGGAACGTAGTTCCAGGGTCACCGCATAGATGGCGCCAGCATGCCAGTGTGTTCTCTCGTCCTAAGAAATTTTAAGATGTTTTAACAAGTCTCTCTCGGTCGTTCTCGGTTGCAAGAGTGTGAACGGGCCTTTAAGAACCAACCTGATATAATTGCCACTATAGGGATGAGTACGTCTGTGCAAGCACTAAAGAGACATATAATTTAATAATGTTTGGGCATTTAAAGAATAACTGGTTAGAGTTTTTTTGTTTTTTTTTGCGGTGGTGCTATTTTATTTAAACGTTTCTTTGCGAACTTGGAAAAAAAATTGGTTCAGTTTATTTCATGGGCGAATGGTGTACTTTGAGTGTGCTGATGTTATTATTTCGTGCTCGTTGTTCCGTGATTGGCAAAATGTTGATCCGGATCCGCGGATATTTGCATCCGATCAGCATCCGCAGCCTCTGGCACCCGTATCTGATTCGTAATCCGCCAAATCTTTTTCAATGTTATCCGCATCCACCAGTTAGTTGACTGCAGAATTCCGCGGATGACTTACCCGCGAGTCATCCGCGGAATTCTGCAGTCAACTAACTGGTGGATGCGGATAACATTGAAAAAGATTTGGCGGATTACGAATCAGATACGGGTGCCAGAGGCTGCGGATGCTGATCGGATGCAAATATCCGCGGATCCGGATCAACATTTTGCCAAGGCAGCCCATAATTGTTGTGCGATCACAGAGTGTAGAGTGAATGAGTGAGTGATAGTATGAAGCACAAAGTGTTTTGCAGGAGCAAATTGCTGCATTAGAAACTTTCTCTGCCGTGTTTTGCTGGTTGAAAGGTATGAATGCGTGTTGTTTTGTCGCTTTGGGTGACTCTGGTTTTCATTTCCTTGATTTCGCCCTTTTATTCATCGTTCTTTTATTGTGGATCTGCATTTATGATGTTTTCCTTGTCCGAGTCATCCGAGTTTCCTCTCTCTGTTGAACGTTCCTTTTGTCTAAGCTTGCTGAATAGTGTTACCAGGCAGGGGGCGGAGAAGGGCGGTTGTCATCTCGTTAGGAATGCCGTTGCCTAGTGCGAAAGCCCCCCGACAGCCGCGCTACTTGCCGGTTGTCTAAATAAAACTTAGATTCCATTTATTATTTGCAACACCGGTCATTATCTTATTTTTTAAAATAACTTTGTTTATTTTTGGTCCAGATTCCAATAGAGCAATATCCTGGAGAGTCGCAACCGTCTTTCTGTGGCCTCAAGGTAATGTACTTTCTCGAACTAATAAATTAGACGAAAGATTATAAGTTTCACAGTGTAGCCTGCGTGAGACTGTTGAATGTTTTTGCTACTCTGACGTGTTTTATTTTATAAAAATATTAACAATATTTGTAACGACCTCGTCAGACACATGACCTTTTAAAGCGTCGCTCGAAAAGATTGATGCGGTTTAAAACAAAGCCATGGCACCACTCAAAATTTTTTTTTCAAAATTGTTATAATTATAATGCAATTAAATGCAGAGGTGCAAGCGAGCTGGACAAGAATCTCGAAAAAAAATTCCTGGAGAAGGTGAACAAGAGGGACAATTGTATAGGAATAAAACTAACAAAATACATCCAGACAAAAATACAAAAGAAAATATATTTAGCTGTATAAACCCAAACACACGAAAAAATAAAATAACGGAAAAGATGACCAAAATTCTTGTCTTATCTGTCTCTCAGGATTGAGATTATAGTGTTTCCCAAACAGCTAGCCTGCATACTTTTTTGTATTTGTTCGGTTTCTCTTTTTCAAAATTAAACTTACCGCTTAGAAAAGATGGTAGAATAAGCGCCACGGCGAAAACTACGAGCTGCATTTTGTGCGATGGCAACGTCCCACTGAAAAAGTATTCATCACATAAAAATAGCCTCTAAGCCGAACACCTTTTTTTCGGAACAATCATATAAATATAGCCTTTAAACTCAACAGATGTTTCGCAAATTGCCTAAAGTCGCTTAATTAGTGCGTTGTATCACGGATGTATGTATATTTTGCGGAAATCAGTGTGTATGCGTATACTTAATCTTACGAAAATGCCCATCTCATAAACAGTCGCAAAAGCATTGCTAATACACGAAAATAAGTACCGTTGCAAAATTAATAAAACTCATTTGGACAATAGACTCCTTTCAAGATACGGTACTCTGCTGACAGATGTGAAATCCCTGGACAATGGCGGACTAAAACCTCAACGTCACGGCACACTGGAAAAAACACAGCCACTAAAAAAGGTGATGATAGCAGTGACGTTGCACTTTCGATGCTGTTTGGTTGGCTCGTCGGCTCTCAGTGTTGGCCGCACTCCGACGTTCGCTATTCGCTATCTTACGGAAAGACTTGCACGTTCCTCGATCCAGTCGCTCCGCCATTGTGCAGTGGTTCCGACCCTCTAATAATCGGCACGTGACTTTTGGAGAGGTCTCATGGCACACTTTTTGCATTTGGTTGGATTAGACGACACAAATACACCTACAGGAAAAGGTGATGACTGCAATGAAATTGCACTTTTGGCGCTGTTTGATTGGCTCGTCTGCTTCTAGCGTTGGGCACCCTCCAACGTTCGCTATCTTACGGAATGACTTGCACGTTTCCCGACGCCAGTTGTTACGCCATTGTAGAGTGCTTCCTACCTTCTAATAATCAACACGTGACTTTCGAAAGGGGTTAATGTGACACGGTATTCCCTGGTTAACAGAAAAACAAGGCAGAAAAACGAAAATGTGTTTGTAATTTTTAACGCACAATATTTTCTAGAATCTTATCCACAAGGCGCAATCGAGTATTTTTTTCACGTCAGAAAGAAAATAGGTAAATAATAAGCTGGCCGAGTAAAATAAACACCGAAAGAAATTCCTGCCTTCAACACGGAGTTTCCACGGCTTCTAGATATTACTCTTGCAAGTATTTGTTCTTCCAGCGGTACACTGTAACATATCGATTGGATTTTGTATTTCCTCCAATATTTGAGAGAAAAAAAAAATGACCGCATCTCTACGTGGTGAATGATGTTGAATGGGGCGAAGCTGTGGTGGTGCTGATGATACTGATTCTATAGTCAATAGGCAGTGCTGATTTTTTTTTTCATTGCTCATAGGTAGTGCTGAGTTTCGGGTTGCGTTTCGACTTCATTATTACTGCTTTATGGTCGGTGAAATCCAGAGCCAGTGGTTTTTCTAGAGGATCAGCTTGGATCCGCTAGAAGCCATGGGAACGCATCTCCACCGCTTAAGTCAACGGTCTATATCAGAAAGAGAATGTGTGATATTGGATCGTGGTTTTATACGCATTTGAGCATTTGACTGCAGCGCCCTCTCGTCTATAAACGTTGAGCCAATGCATGCAAAGTTTAAAGGAGCTGTGCAACGATTTTAACGTTGAAAGAATTGGCATTTTCTGCTTTTGATATTGTTCACTGTGTCACAAATGACAGAAAACACACCTCCTTTCATCGAAATGTTGCGATTCCGCCGCGTAATAGCGAGGCAAAAAATTAGAATATTTCCCGACCTGCAGCCACGAGCGGCGGCCATGAGAAACAAGCGGCGTGACGTCAGTTGAGTAGTTGTAAAAAAGATAGCAAGTTGTGCGAATAACCTGCTCGATAAAAGGTAACTTTTCTATAAATCTTGTCGTTCCAACATATATATAAATGCGTCAAAACCCTGGCATCATCGACAAAACTTTTATTATACGGAGTTTTAGTGGCGCCATCTATCCTAGGTTCAGAAAACCGCGAATAGCCGCCAGAAGCCGGAGGGGGAGGGGGACAGCGCCGGACGGGCAAGGACGGGTATGGCCGAACCCGGGTGAGACTTTCCTCCTTTCACCGTATATTTCGCGGGGCGCCCGCCAGCAAGTGGTCACGCGGTCGCGAGCAGAGTAGTTCTCGCTGCTCGCTGATGGCTCTAAAGAGAGAACTTTTCCGGAACCCCGCGCCTACTCAAGTGACGTCACTGCGCACGTGACCCGAAAGACGATGTACCAGTTGAGAGGCGCCAAAGACCTGGATCTTTTTCATTTTTTTTAAAATAAAAACTAGCGTATCCAGGCAAAATCTGTTTTCTGTAGTTCACTGCAGAAATGTCAGGCATCAACTTCCACAATTATTTAAGCAAAGCCCTGAAATTGTTGCACTGCTCCTTTAACGCGATTATATACGTATTTCACCGCAGCGCCCTCTCCTGTATAGACGTTGAGCGGCTACATGCAACGTTTCATCCATGACAGAAACCCCAGCTCTTGAGTTACTACCACATCTCAGAGCCCCCTACTCGTCCCCGCACAGTTTCGAATCCTGTCGACTGCGCAAATATTTTTTTTTCTTTTCATGTGAGCACGGACGCCGGACGGACGGGCGGACGGACGGACAAGGCTAGACCCTAAGGAGCTTCGCCCCTAAAAACACTAAAGAGATCTGGGGTGTTAGTAAGCTAACTTCGGTAATAATCTTAAATTATAATTAGTAAAAAAAATTATACTGTCCCAGAAAAACGGCGGGAATAACATTGCAGCATAGTTCGACAGACCCACCTACACCGGTCCGTTATTTAACCGAAGGGTATTATGAATACAATTTCACGAACACACTTTGTACTATGAGCGCTCCTAAGAGAACGACATGGCAACAAAACTAATTCAAAGGCGTTGCGATTCTATAGAAAACTTACGTACCGCTTTCTTGCTTTGATAAACTTGAAGTGGCGATTGCTGATCCGATGTGTGGAGAGGTAGGTGGCTTTCTTATATCCCAGATTGTAGGCGTATGACTCGCATCGCGCGATTGCATCAAACCTTTACCGCCAATGGCAGCTTTGGAAGCCGGCGGGAGGAGACAAAAACTGCAGCTGAACACGTGGCCCTTAGATTCGATTCAAAGAGCATTGTGCAGAACTTAAAAGAAAAATGCAGCAAAAAACGGGCGTCTGAAATTTTTTTTTTAATTTTGTTATTGCATTTTGCATTTGCGTGAAGTTCTTGGACCGTGGTTAGTTCTTCGAATATTTTTCGGAATAAGCGTACTGTACACCTCTAAACATTATATTCTACGCTGTGTGCACCACGTAGAGGCGCCGACTATGCAAGGCTTTGACTTACAGGACTTTTTCTTATACCCAGAAATGTCCAGGGTAATCTTTAAGATAAAGCAGGGTAGTGTAGTCCATTTCACTAAAAGTGCATCGTCACGGCGCTTATCCTTCCTACGGGATTCTTATAAGTTATACCCAAGAAAAGCAATCAAGTGAATGCACTGCATTGCTGCGTTTTTTTTTCTGAAGTGATTGATTTATCTGTTGATAGCAAGCCCACAAAGACAACGAGCTCACGAGCTCAGTGATCATGCACTTTTGTCGTTGGTCGATTGGCTACAATACGGTAAAAGGTAAGACGAGTGCGTGGTACATGCTAATGGTCAAATAAACAGCGCCAGAAAAAACGAAGGACAACTAGATGATGTACACACTCGAAGCGCTGGAACACATAAAAGAGCCCAGTGTAGAAGAAAGGAACTGCAATATGGTGGAATCGTAGCACCCGCTGCCGTCGAACTTAAAGTGAAACGGATATAGTGAGCCCCACAATGACAAACACTTTTGTGCTGCTGCCCGAAAGCTCCAAGCGGTGGCTCGAGCATGATCTGGAAGGGAAACAATTTGAGTTGCCGAGGAAGACGATACAAACGATTCCTGGGAGTGGTTACTCCGCCAGCTAAAAAATAACTTTTCAACCACGTCGCTGCGAAGCTGTGCCTAAATGAATGACGTCAAGGCTCTTACAATTTCCATTCAGCTCCGGGAAAAGTGCTTATTTTCATATATATATATATAACTGACGAAGGCCGGACTTCGGCAAAAATGTCGAAAACTAAAAACCGTCCGTTGTTGCTGTTCTCACCAAATGTTTTTTTCTTTCCAGTTATATACCCACGCCTTCGGCCTCCGGCCACCATGCCCGTTGTATATATATATATATATATAACTGGGAAGAAAAAACCTTTGGTGAAAACAGCAACAGCGGACGATTTATACTTCGAAATTTTGGCCAGAGTCCGGCCTTCGTCAGAAAGGCCGGACTCCGGCCGAAACGTCGAAGAATAAATCGTCCGTTGTTGCTGTTTTCATCAAGGGTTTAGTTTCTTCAAAATTATATATGTATATATATATATATATATATATATATATATATATATATATGTATTTATATATATACGAGATATGCCGGGTCCGTGTAGTTTAGAAGCAATCTGTAAAGGTACTGCCGCTAGAAATTTTGTGGAACAAAAATCGAAGAAGATTACTATTGAAAGGTTATGTCCGATGAGGTGATGTACCAGACGTACTAGACCCCTTAAAACCCTTTACGGGTTTGCTGAGTCATTAAACGCCCATAACATCGGCTAAAAAAAACAACAACTACAGGTTGGATTTTTATCGAAACCTGGTTCTAATATTTATTATTGTTCTGCCTTTTACAATACTTTAATGATGCACTCTTGCAGTTTGTACACTATAGACCCCTTTTAAAAGACTGGCCTCTGTTGGCACCTGCAAAACCCCCCTGCACCATGGCGGACTGAATCGCAACGTCACGGCACACTTTACGCGTTTAGTTGGAGTAGAAAAAAAAACATTAACAAAAAAGGCGATGAGCGCAGTGAAGTTGCACTTTCGACGCTGTTCGATTGGTTCCTCTGCTTCTAGCGTTGGCCACGCTGCGACGTTCACTATCTTATGGAATGACTTGGACCTTTCACGATATCAGTTGTTCCGCCATTGGGCAGTGGTTCCGACCTTCTAATACTCGGCCCGGGAATTTCGA